GAGAGAGGAAACAGAACTACAGGGAGCCAGGATTCGAGAAAAAAAGTCCCAGCTAATCTGCCTGCCTGCCTACCCGCTACCCCTTTTAAAGGTCTTACATATTTTTTTTCATAAGAAAGTTTCTAACAAGAAGTCATCTGTCTTGAACTGAAACACCGACAACATACATGAGATCTGGTACCCCATAAAATTCCTTGTTCAGTGCCTTGTCTTATCCTGTATCAACTCAAAAAGAAACTGTTTTTGTTGTTGTTGTTGATTTTGTTGCAGAAACTGTTTTTTTTTTGAGACGGAGTCTTGCTCTGTCATCCAGGCTCGAGTGCAGTGGTGCGATCTTGGCTCACTGCATTACTGCAAAAACTCTGCTTCCAGGGTTCAAACAATTCTGCCTTAGCCTACCAAGTAACTAGGACTACAGATGTGCACCACCATGCCCAGCTAATTTTTGTATTTTTATTAGAGATGGGGTTTCACCATGATGGCCAGGCTGGTCTTGAACTCCTGACCTCGGTGATCCGCCCATCTCAGCCTCCCAAAGTGCTGGGATTACAGGCGTGAGCCACCGTGCCTGGGCCGGAACTGTTTTGTGAGCCTCACAAATGGAGATAGGAATGGGGGCAGGCCATCTGAATTAGGTGGCCAACACTGGCTGAAGCTCAAAGAGAAAGAGAGGGAGATCTCGTGCCAGGAAAAGCAAGGAGCTTGAGGGCAGTTGAGAAAGCCAGCCCCCTGCCTGTCCTGTCCCCATGGCCCACCCAGCTCCCAGAGGCCCCTGGCTTCTGCTAAGTGGAACATACGGGTGTCCGCCTGGGGACCTCCTGATCTAGCCATCCTTAAGCCCGTCCTGGAGTCCTTCAGTCTAACTCTCTGCAGCATTTCAAGCTAAATCACACCAGATACCTTGCATCAGAGTGAAAGAGCTCTACAAACAGAAAAGACTCAAATACCCCTGGCTTGCAGAAAAGGCTATGGAAGAACCCCAGTCACTGGATTCTATCTTCTAAATATCTTTTTTACCTTCTCTGCCTCCAAAGGCAGCTTCACAAATGTGTACCTTCATGGGTTCCTCCTCTGCGGCTCTCACCCAGAACTCTGCCTAACTCAATAAATGCCGGGATTTAAAGTTAAGTATTGTCCAGGTGGCTTTTTCCCACACAGAGGCCCTTGTTCAAATGAAATCTAACATTAAATCCCAGATGTGGTATATAAAACACATCTGAGTGGGCCAGTTGGTGGAAGCAGGTGGGGAGCTGCAGAGACAGTCTTGAGCATCTCCTGCTCTTGCATTAGAGCTCTTTCCAGAGCATTTCAAAGCCTGAAGTTAGAGCAGGGAAAGGAGGAAGGCAGAGCCTTGCCTGGAATCTGGCCCATACATTTTTTTTTTTTAAATCCTAGCTGCAAATTTCAATCCCTTACTCTTAAGTCCTGGAAATGTCATTTCTTCCATTCCTTTCTGCAGGCTCCATGATTGGTACAGAGTGGGGAGGGAGGGACAGAGAGGATCCTGCTGCTGGGGCTCGCTTAAGTCCATACTTCTAAGGGCTGAGGGTGCTTCAGACATTGCAGGGAGAGAGCTGTTAACATGCTGTGAGTTTCATGCTTCCCTATGCGGCGTGAAGCATGTGCAGGAGATTCCAGCAGGCAAAATAGGGAATAAGAAATCCATTCTCAGGAGGGCCAGCTAAGCACGGTATTATTTTCTCCAAGCTTTCTAGAATCATGAACGATTTCAAATCTAGACCTAAAGCCAACCATGCAAAAGGGTATGTTAGGGTGAGGAAGTCTGAACGACTGCATTTAATGCTTGCCTCTTCTGCAGGTTCCAGAAAGTGCCCCTAGGGACCAATAACAAGCTGTTAAGGAGCACTGGAGACCCTAGGATAGCTGTGCTGCGTTCTGAAGAAGCAGGACAGAACCCAGACAGTTCATTCTGTTCCCACAGCAGATAAAGTTCTCCTTTGGCCCTCTCCATTTCCACTGTCAATCTCTCCAAGGCCTAAGGAATACTTTGTCCTGGATCACAGTGACTTGTGGCCTCTGAGTGCCTTTCCCGATTTCCTGGTACTTTCACTTCCTGGAATGCCACAGTCTGACTTCATCAGTGCCAGAGGCATGTCTCAGTAGATCCCCCTGAACACCTCATAGGTTTGAAACCTTGAAGTCACCTCACACTTTCCCTTCTCTCCTACCTCCCATAGCAGCAGTCCCCCTGTTGAGATTACCCAACCCCCAACCAGCACTCCCACACATCAGTCCTCTCCTCTCCATCCCATCCCCACCGAGAGCAGCTGGGAAGGACTGTCGCTGTCCAGCCCCCAGCTGATTTCCCTGCCCCGCAATCTCCCTCACTCAGCCCCAGCCCTGGCCCCTCTCACACACGGCTGCCAGAGACTCTGAAAACATGTTTCTGGTAACATCGGTCTCCTCTGAGTGCCTTCGCACCTCATTCCTGCTTTAAACCCTCTCCAGGTTCCCATCACCTGCAGGAGGTCGGCGGATTAGCACTGAGTCATCCCACAAGCGGGTACCCCTGCCTTGCTCAGTTCATTTCCTGCTTCTCTTCCTTGCCTGGCCTGAGCCTGTGTTCTGACCACAAAAATCCACTCACTGCTGTCCAATCAGCATCTGGGTTCTCCCGAACTACAGGCTTTGGCTCCAACTGCTCTTTCTGCATTGACTGTTCTGCTCTCATTTGTGTCACATCTCTCCCTTCCCTTGCGCCCACTCCACTCTCCAGACCCTTTCCAGAGAGACCCCACAGAACGCATCTCCTACTTCCCCAAGCTCCTCCGGCAGGCTGCTAGGAGATAGTCAGAGCAGAGCTCTGTCTGAATCCAGCCCTCACTGACAGGTGAGATCTCAGAGGTGTGGAGCTCTCATGTTGTATTTCTTTCTTCGGAGGAATACTGAGAATTAACTTTAATTTTTTCATTGTAATTTTAACTTCTCAAAAAAGACATTAAATATTAACACAACTTAATAAATAATATTATCTTACTGTGGCATTTAGTCAACCACTGATTTGGGGACAAAAGAAACAACATGTGCTTTAAAGGTAGTCAAGATTCCATGGTAATTAACTTGGAACACCAAAGAGTAAAACATCAGCAGTGTATTCCACAAAATCCTTGTATGCTGAAGGAATGTGAAGTTACCGCCAGTGCTTCATATCCTTGAGAGATGGTAAAACAAGACAACATTGTTCTTTTTTTTTTGAGAAGAAGTCTTGCTCTGTCATCCAGGCTGGAGTGCAGTGGCACAATCTCGACTCACTGCAACCTATGCCTCCTGAGTTCAAGCGATTCTCTTGCCTCAGCCTCCTGAGTAACTGGGATTACAGGTGCCTCCACCATACCCCAAATTACAGCTAAGTTTTGCATTTTTAGTAGAGACAGGGTTTCACCATGTTGGCCAGGCTGGTCTTGAATTCTAACTGCAAGTGATTCACCTGCCTCGGCCTCCCAAAGTGCTGGGGTTACAGGTGTGAGCCACTGCGCCTGGCCTAAAACAAGACAATATTGTTCTGATGCATCAGTTGCCTAACTTCTGATTAAAGCAAAAAATCAGGGTGATTTTCAGTCCTCAGCTACTTTTCAGTCTAAAGAAAAAGATATTTTATGCTTAAGAAAATCAAGTAGGGTGTGGTCCAGAATCTACTGAGGATTATATTCCAACAAATGTTTACAGAGTACTCGTTGGGCATTCTGCGTGTCCTAAGCAAAAGCTGCAATTGGAAAAAGGAATAAATTGCCAGTTGCAGATTTCAGCTATTGGGGAAGTCTGTAGATTGGGGGCTGAGGGGAACCTGCTTGCTTATCACTTGCGGCTCCTTCCAAATGCTGTCCTGCTGAGAGGAAAAGCTGATCTCAGCGAAACCTGCCCTGGTGTGCTATCACTGAGAGATTATTCAAAAACCAGCTTCTTCCATACAGGCAAATAAATGCACAGAGACCATCATGACTGAGGATTCAGCTCCTGGAGGGTTCACCCGTCTGGGGAGGCCTTCAGGGAACACAGTGCTGTGTCCTGCCTTGGCAAGCAGCCACAGTAACTGATGAGGGGCCTTGCATCAGTTACAAAGGATCTCTGGCCTCCTCTTCTCTCATTCTGCTGTTAAGGTGAACTTCTTTGCTTAGCTTTGATCTCTTGCCTCAAAATGATGTTCTTGCTTCTCATTGGGATGATTGATCCAGAGATCTTTCCTGACACCCAGCCCCAAGTCCAGAGAGCCCAAGTCCACTAAAGCAGGCACCCTCCCAGATGGCTGCTTGTCCAGAGGTGTGACCTTGCTTCTACTCCATCTGCCCCGTCTCTTCCATCCAGCAGCCCATTCTCTACCCACAGCCTGAGTTCCTTTTTGCTTTTGTAGCATTTGCTATTACGTGCACATGACCCCGAACCTGGGGTTGTAACTGCCTACACTGTGGCTCTGACCTCAGAACTACCCATCTAGACTGCTCTTCCTTCCACTCCCCTCCTGCCTCCTGGGTTCATGTCATTGTCAAATGAGCAGCCAGGGCACAAAGTAGAGAGACTTAACTTACACATAATCATCAGTCACTTTCTGTCACATATGAAATCTCACACAGGAACAAAATGATGGTTTTGTGATTCTTGAGTTATGGAACCACAGAGATCACAGAGATGGCCTTATTTAAAACGGATGGCAATGTAACTAGCAAAAGATCTAACAGTTTATTAAATTTCTACCTTTAACAATATTTTTTCTTTAGGATGTTCTAGAGTAGGGGTCAGCAAACTATGGCTAGCATACCCAACCTGGAAAGCTGCCTTTCTTCTTTTTTAAGGAAAATTTTACTGGAACACAGTCATGCCCATTTGTTTACCTATTATTTGTGGCTTTCCCACTAAAATGGCAGAGTTGAGACAGAGACCAAATGACCAAGAATGCCTAAAACACTATCTGGCTCATTACGGAAAAGCGTGCCAACCCCTGTCCCACAGCAATAAGGCAATGCGAAAGGATAAGAACAAGGTACCTGTTGACTGGCAGGTATTTTCTTGCGACATGGCAGTTGTCACAATTTCCGTGGCTGCGTCTCTAACAGCTTGCTCCTCACTCTGCAGAAGGGTAAGGACACACTTCCAGAGAGCAAGTGTATCCTGCAACTCTAAGAAGACCAAAAGGAATCTGAATTATGTAGAATGCAATTAACAGGCAGGTGCAAATACTGCTTCAAATCCCTGGTGGAAGAGAGGAGCACTGAATGAGGTACAGCTATTCCTTTTTTTCCGGGTATAAGAAGAGAGAATGTTAGACAAACATTGGCAAAGAGAGGAGTCTAAGGGGCAGATTTGAAATGTTTTTTTTTGGGAGTGAGGAGGTAGGCTTTCTGGAGGCAACCAGCCCTAGGCAAGGCCTCCAGAAGGTGCTACCCAGCTGAGAAAGACCCTGTGCCCTGCTCTCCTAGGTGAGTCCCAATTCTCTAGAAGAAAGCTTTATGCATGAGGCTGCTTTGTAGAAACTAGCCCAGTGCTGATTCAAGTGTCTGAGCCTATAAATCCTCAAAGTGAAGCATCAATCAAGATTATGCTTTGGTGGAAAGAATAAAAAAAGAGAGGCTGGGCGCAGTGGCTCACGCCTGTAATCCCAGCACTTTGGGAGGCTGAGGTGGATAGATGACGAGGCCAAGAGATCAAGACAATCCTGGCCAACATAGTGAAACCCCATCTCTACTAAAAATACAAAAATTAGTCGGGCATGGTGGTGTGCCCCTTCAGTCCCAGCTACTCAGGAGGCTGAGGCAGGAGAATCACTTGAACCGGAGGCAGAGGCTGCAGTGAGCCGAGATTGCACCACTGCACTCCAGCCTGGTGACAGAGCGAGACTCCATTTCAAAAACAAAAACAAATCCCAGAATCATCCACGACAAACGCAGCAGCTTGTGTCCATGTATGTCAGGGGTCCACTGTCTGACTGCCATTACTCCTGGACACTGATCTGTTTATTCAGCCTGTGCTAGGTGCTGCTGTGGACAATCAACAAGAAAAGATAATATCTTCTCCTGAGCAACCAAAAGGAATATAAAGTCAAAAACACAAAACAATGAGTTATCAAGAACAAAACTACGTGGCTGTGACTCACAACAGGAAAGATGAGAGTGGCCTGCTGTAACTGACACAGACTTCATGATGAAAGTCAGAGGTGAGCATGGCCTCCCAGAAGGGGTCCCTCTGGTCCAGGCGGGGTGGGCCTGGCCTGTGGAGGGTCGTCAGTAGAGGGCTATGGAAGACCACCATGCAGCATCCCCATCCTTTCAATGGGGAAACCACACTGCCCTAAGAACTTTCCTTTGTCTATCTTCTCCCTCATCTGTACATGGAGAACCTGGTTTCAGAGTCACTGATGCTTTAGTCATACCAATAAGAACAGTGGCTTCATTTGGGGTTTCGTTCTCTTCTTTTCCTTAAAGAGCTGGCTTTAAATTTTACTCAGCCTTTCAGTCTCCATCCTTTCTAGTTGTTCTGTAGGGTTTAATACCTTTCTTTCTTAATATTTTCCTCTTTTAATATGGTCATTTATATCCTTCCCTCTTTAGTTCATTTCAATTTTTCTTTTTCCTTAAATGACTTTGCTGTGCCCTTGACTTTTCTCATGTACTTTTTTTTTTTTTTTTATGAGACGGAATTTCACCCTTGTTGCCCAGGCAATGGCACAATCTCTGCCCACCACAACCTCCGCCTCCTGGGTTCAAGTGATTCTCCTGCCTCAGCCTCTGGAGTAGCTGGGATTACAAGCATGTCCCACCATGCCCAGCTAATTTTGTATTGTTAGTAGAGACAGGGTTTCTCCATGTTGGTCAGGCTGGTGTCAAACTCCCAACCTCAGGTGATCCACCCGCCTCAGCTTCCCAAAGTGCTGGGATTACAGGCGTGAGCCACTATGCCCGGCCTCTCATGCACTTTTTATGTCTTTTGCTCCTACCTACTCAGTACCTTTTTTTATTGAGATGAGGTCTCACCAAGCTGCCAAGGCTGGAGTGCAGGGGTGCAATGGCTCACTGCAGGCTTGACCTCCTGGGCTCAAGCAATTCTCCTGCCTCAGCCTCCCAAGGAGCTTGAACTACAGGTCTGTGCCATTACATCTAGCTAATTTCTTTTTTCTTTTTTTTGTAGATATGAGATCTTGCTATGTTACCCAAGCTGGTCTTGAACTACTGGGCTCAAACAATGCTCCTGCTTTGTCCTCCCAAAGTGCTAGGATTATAGGCATGAATTGCTGCATCTATTTTTCGTGTTCTTGTAGGCACAGGACCCAATTTCACATAGGAATTCCAGGTTATTCCATACACATTTTACCTGTTATGAGCTAGGGTTCAAGTAGGTAAAGTCACCTAGAAAATGTTCTGCAAAATGGTATTAACCTTACTGGAGAGACTTGACTAAAGTTTGTCATCTTTTGCTCTTATTCCTTTGAGTCTAATGATTAAATTGCAATCACACAGCCCCTTCTCAATATCCTTCTGGCTTTAAGAAAAATGTCTGGAAGTCACTAAGAAGAAAAAAGTTAAAACAGTATTGAAGAAAACGTTGTCTCCCAGAGAAATATAGGGACACGAGACACTTTATTGGTCTGAACTACAACATTTAAAATTTGAATTTTACATCTCACTATCTAAAAACAGTTCTTTCCTTTAGTCTGTAAATCCTTTCTCCACAACTATATTGAATGCTCCTTGGAGGCAGTGACCATGTCTGATTCTTGAGGGCCGAGTATGGAAGAGGTACACAAAAACAGAATTCCACTAATAGGTGAGAAAAGAATCATACCATGTTAATATGGGATTCAACATGGCAGGAGAGGGCAAGGTTGGGGTTGAAGCATAGCTTTAGAACCTGGGTTTTCCTTTTATTAAACCCTATGCTTAAAAACAAAGCAAAACATAAGTTAACACAATTTAAAAATTTTTAAAAAGAACTATGCTTTTCAATTCCTTAGGATTTTCTCAAGCTTGGTATTCTTACATATCATTGACACGCTGCCCATTCCTATTACTCTTGACACACAGGTAGCAGTGAGGAGAGACATGGAGGTGTAGAACATGCTGGAAACCAGCTAAGATCTGTACATCCATTTAATTTCAAAATATTTCCACCATTACATCCCTAAGATACTGGTATGGTTTGGATTTGTGTCCCCGCCCAAATTTCAGTTCAAATTGGAGGAGTGGATGGTGGGAGGTGAATGAATCATGAAGGCAGATTTCTCCCTTGCTGTTCTCATGATAGTGAGTGAGTTCTCACAAGATCTGATGGTTTAAAAGTGTGTGGCACTTCTCCCTGCTCTCTGACTCTCCTGCTCCACCATGGGAAGATGTGCCTTGCTTCTCCTTTGCCTTCTGCCATGACTCTAAGTTTCCTGAGGCCTCCCAGCCATGCTTCCTGTTGTGCCTATGGAACTGTGAGCCAATTAAACCTCTCTTCTTCATGAATTATCCAGTCTCAGGTAGTTCTATATGGGAGTGTGAGAATGGACTACTATGGAAAATTGGAACTGGAAGTGGAGCACTGCTATAAAGACATTTCCACCTGAAAATGTGGAAGTGACTTTGGAACTGGGTAAGGGGCAGAGGTTGGAACAGTTTAAAGGGCTCAGAAAAAGACAGGAAGATGTGGAAAAGTTTAGAACTTCCTAGAGACTTGTTGAATGGTTTTGACCAAAATGCTGATAGTGATAGGCAATGAAGTCCAGGCTGAGGTTCTCTTGGAGATGAGAAGCTTATTGGGAACTGAAGCAAAGGTCACTCTTGCTATGCTTTAGCAAAGAGACTGGTGGTATTTTGCCCCTGCCCTAGAGATCTGTGGAACGCTGAACTTGAGAGAGATGATTGAGGATATCTGGCAGAAGTTTATAAGCAGCAAAGCATTCAAGATGTGACCTGGCTGTTTCTAAAAGTGTACAATGATATGCATGAACAAAGAGATTATCCGAAACTAGAACTTATATTTAACAGGGAAGCAGAGCATAAAAATTTGAAAAATTTGCAGCCTGGCCATGTGTTACAAAAGAAAAACCCATTTTCTGGGAAGAAATTCAAGCCTGCTGTAGAAATTTGCATAAATAAAGAGGAGCCGAAGCTGGGTGCAGTGGCTCATGCCTATAATTTCAGCACTTTGGGAGGCCAAAATGGGTGAATTACTTGAGGTCAGGAGTTCAAGACCAGCCTAGCCAACATGGTGAAACCCCATCTCTTAAAAATACAAAAATTAGCCAGGTGTGGTAGTGGGCACCTGTAATCTCAGCTACTTGGGAGGCAGGAGAATCGCTCAAACCTGGGGGACAGAGGTTGCAGTGAGCCAAGATTGTGCCATTGCACTCCAGCGTGGGCAACAAGAGTAAAACTCCATCCAAAAAAAAAATGGCTGGGTGCTGTGGCTCATGCCTGTAATCCCAGCAATTTGGGGGGCCGAGGCAGGCAGATTACGAAGTCAGGAGATCAAGACCATCCTGGCCAACATGGTGAAACCCCATCTCTACTAAAATACAAAAAAAAAAAAAAAAATTAGCTGGGCATAGTGGCACATGCCTGTAGTCCCAGCTACTCAGGAGGCTGAGGCAGGGGAACTGCTTGAACCCGGGTGGTGGAGGTTGTAGTGAGCCAAGATTGAGTCACTTCACTTCAGCTTGGCAACAGAGCAAGACTTCACCTCAAAAAGAAAATAAAAAATAAAAAAAATTTTAAAAAGGCCAGATGCGGTGGCTCACACCTATAATCCCAGCACTTTGGGAGGCCGATGCAGGTGGATCATGAGGTAAGGAGTTCGAGAACAGCCTGACCAACATGGTAAAACCCTGTCTCCACTAAAAATACAAAACTCAGCCAGGTGTGGTGGTGCATGCCTGTAATCCCAGCTACTGAGGAGGCTGAGCGAAACAATCGCTTGAACCTTGGAGGCAGAGACTGCAGTAAGCCAAGATCACACTCTAGCCTGGGTGACAGAGCGAGACTCTATCTCAAAAAAAAAAAAAAAAAAAAAGAGCCAAATGTTAATAGCCAAGGGGATGGGGAAAATGTCTCCAGGGCATTTCAGAGACCTTCACAGCAACCCCTCCCATCACAGGCCCAGAGGCCTAGGAGTAAAAAATGATTTCTTAGGCCAGGCCCAGAGCCTGGTGGCTTTGTGCAAAATTGGGACATGGCATCCTGTGTCCCAGCTGCTCCAGCTCCAGCTGTGGCTAAAAGGGGCCAAGGTACAGCTTGGGTCATTGCTTCAGGGGGTGCATGCCCCAAGCCTTGGTGTTCCATGTGGTGTTGGGCCTGTGGGTGTGCAAAAGGCAAGAGCTGAGGTTTGGAAACTTCCACCTAAACTTCAGAGGGATATATCAAAATATCTGGATAACCAGGCAGAAGTCTGCTGCAGGAGCGGAGCCCTAATGGAGAACCTGTATTTGGTCAGTAGAGATGGGAAATGTGGGGTTAGAGCCCCCACATAGAGTCCCCACTGGGGCACTACCTCGTGGAGCTGTGAGAAGAGGGCCACAGTTCTCCAGACTCCAGAATTTTAGATCCACCTTCAGTTTGCACTGTGTGCCTGGAAAAGCCACAGGCACTCAACACCAGCCTGTGAAAGCAGCCACAGGGGCTGTACCCTGTAGAGCCACAGAGGCAGAGCTGCACAAGGCCTTGGGAGCCCACCCTTTGCATCAGCATGCCCTGGATGAGAGACATGGAGTCAAGGGAGATTATTTTAAAGCTTTAAGATTTAGTGACTGCCCTGCTGGGTTCTGAACTTGCATGGGTCCTGTAGCACCTTTGTTTTGGCCAATCTCTCCCATTTGGAATGAGGGCATTTACCCAACACCTGTACCCCCACTGTATCTTGGAAGTAGTTAACTTGTTTTTAATTTTACAGGCTCATGGAATGATGGCATTTACCCAATACTTGTACCCCCATTGTATCTTGGAAGTAGCTAACTTGTTTTTGATTTTATAGGCTCATGGGTGGAAGGGATGTACCTTGTCTCAGATGAGACTTTGGACTGTGGACTTTTGAGTTGATGCTGAAATAAGTCGAGACTGGGGGACTGTTAAGAAGGGATAATTGTATTTTGCAATGCGAGAAGGACATGAGATTCTGGTGGGGCCTGGGATGAAATTATATGGTCTGGATTTGTGTTTCTGTCCAAATCTCATGTTGAATTGGAGGAGGGGCCTGGTAGGAGGTGACTGGATCACATAGGCAGATTTCCCCCTTGCTGTTCTCATGACAGCGAGTTCTCATGAGGTCTAATGGTTTTAAAGTGTGTGGCACTTTCTCCTGCTCTCTCTCTCTCTCACACACTCACTCTCTCTCTCTCTCCTGCCATCATGTGAAGAAGGTATCTGCTTCCCCTTTGCCTTCTGCCATGAATGTAAGTTTCCTAGGGCCTCCCAGCCATGCTTCCTGTTAAGATTACGGAACTGTGAGTCAGTTAAACCTCTTTTTTTCATAAATTAACCAGTCACAGGTAGTTCTTTATAGCAGTGTGAGAACAGACTAATACAGATACCTTTAACTTAAAACCAAAATCATTGAATGCAACTAGCAGGTTATCCAGTCACTTTAGCCAGATGCCTAGAAATCATTCTTGAATTTTCCTTTTATCTCAACCTCAACACCACCAACTCCTATTGATTCTACTTCCTAAATTTCTTTTGAGCCCATCCTCTCTTCCTTGCTGCCACAGATTCACACTTGCCCATTCATTTCTCACCTAGATTATTCCAACAGGCCTCCCAGAAGAGGAGACAGAATGAGTCTTGACAAATAGAAGTCAGTCAAGCAGTGTGGTTTGTTTAGTTTAGAGAACTGTTCCCTACTGATGACACATAGGGCCTGTGTCAGGGAGTGGTAGATGATAAGGCAGGAGCGGGGACCAGGGACAGAACAGAAAGGGCCTTATGAGTTGTGCTAAAGGGTGTTTAGGCTTTATACTGAAAGCAGTGGGAACCCACTCAAAGGTTTTTAAATAGTGGCCTGAAATTATCAGACTTGCATTTCAGAAAGAGGCTCTTTGTGGAGAAAAGTTTAGGGGGTAAGACTGAAAAACAAGAGGCTGGTTAAGAGTATGTTAGTGGGTCAGGCACAGTGGCTCACACCTGTAATCCCAGGACTTTGGGAGGCTGAGGTGGGTGGATCACTTGAAGTTATTCAGGAGTTTGATACCAGCCTGGCCAATATGGTGAAAACCCACCTCTACTAAAAATACAAAAATTCGCTGGGCATGGTGACGGCTGCCTGTAGTCCCAGCTACTCGGGAGGCTGAGGCAGGAGAACTGCTTGAATCCAGGAGGTGGAGGTTGCAGTGAGCCAAGATTGTGCCACTGCATTCCAGCCTGGGTGACAAGAGAAAAACTCCATCTCACAAAAAACAGAGTGTGTTCATGAAAATGATTAGAACATGAACTAAGATGGCAGGAATATATATGAAAGACATAAAGGCAGGGTGCAAGCTGCCATCTTTCACCTTCCCTTCTTTTTAGGTGAGAATATCTATTCATATTTTAAGTGAGTTTGGTAAAACAGACTCTCCTCTCAGCACACTTACCAAGAATAGGACGGGGGTTGGTGAGGAAAAGTGGTGCAGTGCTGGTGAGGACTTCAACAGCGGCCAGCCTAGACTCTGTAGGGAGATGGTCTTCACAGGACAAGATGACCAGCTGAACCCACTGTTTCAGCTCAGCAGATATCGATTCCCTGTTCTAAAACACAGAATGGACCTATCAGTAGTTCAGAAGAGACAACCAAGGGCTGACCTACATCAAACTGGGGCTGCAGATTCGCTCTTAGCTCCGTGAGAAGAAAGCTTTTCTATTCCAACTAGAGAGAAATATGCCCAAGGAAGAAAATCTGACTTGTCTTTTGGTACTAGGGAGTCACAAAAACTAGACGGCAAGTTCCTTTAGTCTTTTTCTTTCTTTCTTTTTTTGAGACAAGGTCTTGCTCTGTTGCCCAGGCTGGAGTGTTGTGATACTTGGCTCACTGCAACCTCTGCCTCCTGGGTTCAAGCGATCTGCCTCAGCCTCCTGAGTAGCTGGGAGTAAAGGTGTGTGCCACCACACCTAGCTAGTTTTTATATATTTAGTAGAGACAGGGTTTCACTACGTTAGTCAGGCTGGTCTTGAACTCCTGGCCTCAAGTGATCTGCCCGCCTTGGCCTCCCAAAGTGTTGGGATTACAGGTGTGAGCCACTGCACCTGGCCTTCCTTTAGTCTTTTTGGATGCAAATCAGGTTATGAGAACACTGGCATACTTGATAGCTCTGGTAAAGACCAAACTTGTGGGGAAAACCATCCAGCAAATAATAACTTGTTGTCACCAATAACCAGATACTCCTCCTGTAGCAACAGAACCCCAGATTTTTGGCTGGGCCCAAGGGCACCCAGCTAGAGACTACATGTCCCAGTCTCTGACATTTGGGAGTAACATGTGATTAAGTTCTGAAGACTGGGATGACACTAGAAGTAGTAGTATCTGTGCACTTTCAAGTCATGCCTTAGAAAATGGCCATGATCTTTATTTCCTGGGTTTCCCCTTCCTGCTAGCTAAACAAGGATAAGATGGTGGAAGCTGGGGACCTAAGATAGAAGCTATGTGTTTAGGACAGCAGAACAGCAAAGTATGAGAACCTGGTGGCTCAACACTGTCAAGCTACATTTGCTTTGGACAGCTTCTATCTGATTTAAGCCACAGTATTTATGAGCTTCTGTTACAACATTTAAAGCAGCATCACAGGCTGGGCACAGTGGCTCATGGCTGTAATCCCAGCACTTTTGAGGCCGAGGCAGTTAGATTACTTGAGGTCAGGAGTTCAAGACCAGCCTGGCCAATACGATGAAACCATGTCCCTATGAATATACAAAAATTAGCTGGACATGGTGGCTCATGCCTTTAATCCCTGCTATTCAGAAAGCTGAGGTAGCGGAATCGCTTGAACCCGGGAGGCAGAGGTAGCAGTGAGCTGAGATCATGCCACTGCACTGTAGCCTGGGAGAGAGAGCAAGACGAAGGAGGGAAGGCAGGGGAGAGGAGGGAAGGGGAGAGGAGGAGAGGGGAGGGGTAGACGGGGAGGGGAGGAGTGACTTTAAGAACATATAATAAGTGGTTAGAAACAGCTTTGGATAAGAATAATGCCTTGGCAGTCTTGTTAGGCTGCCTGGTGACTTCTGTCTTAAAATTTGGTGGGTTTTTTTTGTTTGTTTGTTTTTGAGATGGAGTCTTGCTCTGTTGCCCAGGCTGGAGTGCAGTGGCACGATCTTGGCCCACTCTAACCTCCACCTCCTGGGTTTAAGCGACTCTCCTGCCTCAGCCTCCTGAGTAGCTAGGATTATAAGCACGTGCCACCATGCCTGGCTAATTTTTGTAATTTTTAGTAGAGATGGGGTTTCGTCATGTTGGCTAGGCTGGTCTCGAACTTCTGACCTCAGGGTGATCTGCCCACCTTGGCCTCCCAAAGTGCTGGGATTATAGACATGAGCCACTGTGCTTGGCCCTGGTGTTTTTTTTTGTTTTGTTTTGTTTTTTTTGAGACAGGGTCTCATTCTGTCGCTCAGGCTGGAGTGCAGTAGTGTGATCTCTTGGATCACTACAACCTCCGCCTCCTGGGTTCAAGTGATTCTCCTGCCTCAGCCTCTGGAGTAGCTGGGATTACAGGCACCCGCTACCATGCACGGCTAATTTTTGTATTTCTTGGTAGAGATGGAGTTTCACTGCTGGTCAGGCTAGTCTTGAACTCCTGACCTCAGAGTGATCCACCCACCTCAGCCTGCCAAAGGGTTGGGATTACAGGCATGAGCCACCGTGACCGGCCGGTGCTTTTCTTTCCCCTCTGGGCTATAGTTTTTTAGCAAATCATCTCCGTTCCTGTACTCTCTCCACCCCACCTGACTTTTTTTTTGGGCTTTTTGTATCTCCTAGTGACCTCCTAGGTTTGGCTCCTTGTCCTGCCTTTGAATGACAGATCCAAGGAAATTGGGCCTGTTTGTTAATTTCTACCCTCGGTTTTATCTCTGCCCAGCCTCATGCTCTCTGAACTTCACAATCTCCTCTATGAAATCTTCTTCAGCCTCCTAACTCTCACTCCCTCCAGTGGGTTCCCACGGCCCTGGCACATCTTCCTGCTAGAGCATAGAATGTAATTATCTAATGTTCTCTTTCTTTCATTAGACTGTATCTCTAGTCTCTGCTCATCTTTATATTTCAGTACCTATACATCAGTGCTAGGTTTATTGTAAGGGCTCTGGATTCACAGTGTTATGCCATCACCATCAGTGTGGCTGTGTGGAATCCAGATCTTCAGGTGATTTTCCTGTGGTATTGGCTGCTTTCTACTTGTGATTCTACGATGGTGCTATCTTTCTTGTATGTAATTAAGTGGCATGTATTTGTCTTAAGACATCTTCCCAGGAAGGTTGTTTTTCTTTTGTTCTACTTCACTAACAAAGGACATGTAAAACAGGTGGGGTGCATCTGGGCCTCCATCCGGAGCCAGCTGGGCCATGTTCTGCGGGAACATTTAAGCCTTAGTGATGTATTTTCATTTTTAGTTCATTAGGTTGCAAATATTTTTGGAAGTGACATGTTTATTCCTCTTTAAATAAAGAGTCTAGCTACAGAAATAGGGAAAAAAACAAGGGATTTGAGGATAAGTGTTTTAAGGGGAAGGTCCTGTTACCCCTAGGGACTCTTAATTAAAAAAAAAAAGCCTAAAACAGGCCAGGCACAGTGGCTCATGTCTGTAATCCCAGCACTTTGGGAGGCCAATGCGGGTGGATCACCTTAGGTCAGCAGTTCGAGACTAGCCTGGCCAACATGGTGAAATCTGTCTCTACTAAAAATACAAAAAATTAGCCAGGTGTGGTGGCAGGCACCTGTAATCCCAGCTACTCGGGAGGCTGAGGCAGGAGAATTGCTTGAACCTGGGAGGCAGAGATTGCAGTAGGCCAAGATCACGCCACTGCACTCCAGCCTAGGCGACAAGAGCAGGACTTCATCTCAAAAAAAAAAAAAAAAAAAAAAAGAAAAAAAAAAGCCTAAAACAAAAGAAAAGAAAGGTGGTGTTCAAAGACGTCTTCCCGAGTTATACTTGAAGTGAAAAAGCAGCACGAACAATATTTTTGTAGATGTTACATATACATGTCACAGAGGTTCTGCCTGCTGAGACAGTTTACTTCTACTGACACCTTCCGAGTAAATGAGAACACAAAAACCCAGGTCCCAGAACAAGAACAGAACCAGCCTTACCTCCACACATGTCTGCATATGGTGGGAAATGATTTTAGAGGCAAGTCTCAGAGCTACACTCTGTATTTCAGATCTAGAAAAATAAACAAACAAAAAAATCACACAAAATTACAATCAGACATATCTCATACATTGGTGTGTGTGTGTTTTGTTTTTGTTTTTGTTTTTTTTTGAGACAGAGTCTTGCTCTGTCGCCCAGGCTGGAGTGCAGTGGTGCAATATTGGCTCACTGCAACCTCCGCCTCATAGTTCAAGCGATTCTCCTGCCTCAGCCTCCTGAGTAGCTGGGATTACAGGCGAGCACCACCACGCCTGGCTAATTTTTGTATTTTTAGTAGAGACTGGTTTCACCATGTTGGTCAGGCTAGTCTCAAACTCCTGATCTCATGATCCACCTGCCTTGGCCTCCCAAAGTGCTGGGATTACAGGCATGAGCCACTGCACCTGGCCCATACACTGGTTTTTGCAGACAGTGTGTAACCTATGCAGATGTGAACACTGGAAATCTCTACCTCCCGGTTACAAAAATGCCTCTGGAAGCAATTACCTTTGGTTATTAATGTGAATCACTGATATCACTCTATTGCTTGAGTTTAGAACTCTTAGGCTGAGGCTTAGAAGAAAATACAGGACCTGAGACCTGAGGCAAGGATTGTGAGCAAGTTCATTACACAATGACTGACGAGACCAGACACCCTACCAGGCTACATGTGAGGCACTGGGGGCAAACCTTTCATTGGAAGCAATATCCATCGTCCAGATCAAGAACTCCTTTGGGGTCAGATGGACACAGTGCTTCGTCTGGGGAAGCCACTCACTAGGGTTCATGCAGTGGAGAATTTTCAGTATCTGTTAAGTCAAATCCATGAAAAAAAAAAGAGAAATAAATACTCAGGGAAAAGTCTCCAGATGTTAAATAATAGTTTTATCAACAACGGGTCTATCTTTCAAAAGGCCCTCACTGACTTATTTCCCCCATAATACCTTTGGGAGACTGAGGCAGGGTGAATGACTAACCAGAGGACCTCTAGTGATGGGACAGGAGCCAGATGCCCTGAGTCCTAGGCCCCTGCCCTTTCCTGGATTATGCTTTCCAGGTGGCCATCAGCCCTGAAATTGCCATGTCAGCAAAGACTACCTCTGACACTCTCTACAGTGAATTTTTAATGATCTGTTTCCTAAACATCCCAAAGTGGTTTGCTCTGTCTTTGGTTAATCTCTGCCATCAATACCCCTATTATCAAAAGCTTTTCTTGGTGCCCTAGGTATGACGCCGTGCAAACCATGATACAAAGAGAATCTTTATCCACTGGATGCCGAATCTACTTCCTATTGCCCCAGAGAGCACAAACCCAATCTTGCCTCCATGACCCCACCATTCCAGTGGCTCATAAAAGAATGTGGGGAGTGGAAAGGGGCAGTCAGTACATCAGAGGCCTTACCTTGTAGAAGCATTCTGGGTGACTCTCCTTCATGGCCAATAATAAGAATTTCTCTCCCATGTTGCACAGCAAGGGTGGCAGTTCCTTCTCTCCGAGTCCAGAGGCTGCCGACAAGAACTTTTCCAAGAGAGCTTCCAGTGTCAATAAGCGCACTTCAGGGAAGGTAGATTCTAACAGCTGAGAGAAAGAGATGGGGGCGTCCCTCGCCCGCTCTCCACTCTCGGCTGCTGTGGCCCACACTGCAGCAATGGCTAATCTGGTGAGGCTCTGGAGGTACTGGGGCAGGCCTGGCACCTTGAAGGCACTGGGAAATCCTGTTATCAACTCTGATGCTGAGATAATCCCTCTGACTTCCTCCCAGAAGCCAAGATTCTCCAGAACTAAGAAGCAGAAAAAGCAAAGAGAAAGAGATAATCTTTTTTTTTTTTTTCTTGAGACGGAGTTTCACTCATGTTACCCAGGCTGGAGTGCAATGGCGCGATCTCGGCTCACCGCAACCTCCGCCTCCTGGGTTTAGGCAATTCTCCTGCCTCAGCCTCCTGAGTAGCTGGGATTACAGGCACGCGCCACCATGCCCAGCTAATTTTTTGTACTTTTAGTAGAGACGGGGTTTCACCATGTTGACCAGGATGGTCTCGATCTCTTGACCTCGTGATCCACCCGCCTTGGCCTCCCAAAGTACTGGGATTACAGGCTTGAGCCACCGCGCCCGGCCTAATCACTTTAACTTTCTACAAAAGGGTATGAAAGAATGAAACACTGAAGACACTGGGTGAGACTGGCAGATGTCCTCCATAAGCACATTTCAAACAATGTCGTCAGTGACTAGCCCACTAAGGTTCAGACTTCTAGTCCACGACAATTTCTATTTAGGTAATGTATCATTTTTCCAACAGGGGGACAAAGGCATTACTATTAGAAGTTGCTTTTCCGGCACCCGTCCTCAACATTCAATAAATATGAACTCAGTGACCTCTCGTCACATCTAGTATAAACTTCCTTTAGGTGCTCAGCTCCCCTCTGTAACACCTCTTCCCAGAAGCTCTTGGTTGAACCCTATAGTACCTTGGAGCTCATGAGACAGCTTATTCCATTGTTAGTAGATCTAACTGTCAAAAAGCTCTTCTTGTGTTTCTACTCATTGCCCTTATGCTACATTTCAAGGCTCCCAATGATCACTCTTTAGGCATTTGATTACAATTCTTGTGTCCCCTCTGTCTTCTCCAGGTGAAACAGGCCTACGTCCTTCCCCAGATGATGGGGTCACCATCTCTCATTATTCTAGCTGCTTTCCTCTGAACATGCCACACCCTCTCTTAAAAAATGGCCAATAGGTAATGAACATGAAATAATCCTGTCGCTGTCCCTCAGATGACCCAGAAATGGTTGGTGATTGTTGAGCAGGAGGAAGGGGTCAGTGGGAGGTGCTGGGTGCTTAGGTGCAGTAATGTGCATCCATTCCAGAAAAAAAAAAATAGAAAAAAAAAAGGCCCCCAGGCTGGATCACAACTCTCCTGCATGGTTTGACCTGCAAGACTATTACTTTCCCTGTTCTGAACTGGAGTTGCATCACACTGTTGACTCATATGGAGCATAAAGTCAACTGAAACCACAGCCCTTCTTTCTTGACGTGGGCTACTGATGGTGGTGAGTCATCTTCCTCACATTTTGTACTCAGTACTTAGGTCGAGATGGGTTTTCATTTGTTTATTTTAAGCCCAAGCATATCCCTGTTAAATTGTATCTTCCTGTTAAGTTTTATGGTCTGTCTTTCAGTTGCTGAGATCTTTTCATAGTCTCATTTCTCATTAAACAAATTAAAAAACCAAAAACATTTTACCTGCTTACTATGTGCTAGGAGCTAAATAAGATCACTGCCCTTAAGGAGTTTATAGTCAGTTTAGTTTGAGAAAGAGAAACGCATGAACAGGTAATGCCAATATAATGGTTTAAATGATAACCTAAGTCTCGAAGAGGAAGAGAGGTGATAATGTGTTAGGAACACCAAAGACAAGGCCACCAGCTGAGCAAACGCTAAGGAAGGCATGAAACAGAATGGACCACGTGGGGAACTACAGGCCATCCCATAACACTGGAGCATGAAATTCAAGGTGGGAAAGAGCAGGAGACAAGGCTAGGGAAGAAATGTGTCTAGAACACAGAAAGCCTCCTAGACAATATGAAGCAGCTGGTTCTGTATGCAAGGGAATGCCACTGAGGGTTTTTTTAAGCAATAAAGTCAGGGGCCCATTTTCACTAAAGTGCTCTTCTTGTTGAGAAGGCAATATTAGAGGCAGGGAGACCAGTTACAACACTACTGCACCGTAGTCCAGGAGAGAAATGATGAGAGCCTCAAGTTTGGAAGGAATTGGGAGAAGGTGGGTTTAAGAAATACTAAAGGTCTGAAGCTAAGGTGACCATTTAAAAAGGTAAAAAAGAAAGAAAAATACTGAAGGGATAAAAATGGCAGGACTAGGGAATGAGGGTGCAGAATAGGGGAGGAGTCTTGGGTACCTCCCAGAGCCCAGTTCTTCACACATGTACCTCATCTAATAGAAATCAGGTAAACCAGCCGGGTGTGGTGGCTCACGCCTGTAATCCCAACACTTTGGGGGCTCAAGGTGGGAGGATTACTTGAGCCTAGGAGTTTGAGACCAGCCTGGGAAACATTGTGAGAATCTATTTCTACAAAAAATGAAAAAATCAGCTGGGTGGGGGAATCACTGGAGCCCAGGAGGTCGAGGATACAGTGAGCCATGATGCTGCCATTGCACTCCAGCCTGGGTGACAAAGTGAGATCCCCATCTCAAAAACGCATAAAAAGTAGTTGGCAAACTTCAATTCACATGAATGCCTAAAGGCCCACAATCAAATAATTACTAAAATGTGAGCCAGGTGGAGGGCTTTGGTAAGCAGGCTCCCCGCTGGCCCTTGCCTCAAATCCTCTTCAAGGTTCTTACCAATTCATTAACTAGCCCTCTTTGGTTCTAGTCATCCCCCAATTATGAACCCTCTTAACTGTATCATTCTGTCCATGAAGTTTTATCTACAAGAACTTAGGACAGACTTCACCATATGCCTTGCCAAAATTTAGATATTATATTCATAGCATTCTCTGGTAAACCCCCACTGAAAATTGTACTCATGATGTTAACAAGTTTATCCTGGATTGGCTTACCAGAGAGCATTTAAGTGATGAGCATTTATAGCTAATAAAACACTGTTTACATTCATCATCTCATATAACTCAGAGAACTCTGCTGACTTCTAGAAAACTAACATAAACATAATGCAAATGTAAAACATTACGGTAACACTTAGAAAAATTTATCTGAAATTGAAAATTTGCATAGGCTTGCAATTTGAGAATTAAAAGTATAGATTTATGTAACATACCAAACTGTTTCAAAGTCTGCCACAGGGGGCAAAATGGGGACTCCATAGAGGCCACCAACATGATGGCACTCCATAGAGGCCACCATCTGCGGCTGCAGCCACACCTCTAACTCTTAGCTCAGACGTTGCAGAAGTCCCAGCTCACCAGGAGGCAACTTTTTATTTTTTTATTTTCTTGGAGACAGAGTCTCCCTCTGTCGCCCAGGCTGGAGTGCAGTGGCACGATCTTGGCTCACTGCAACCTTTGCCTCCTGGGCTCAAGTGATTTTCCTGCCTCAGCCTCCAGAGTAGCTGGAAATACAGGCACGCACCACTACGCCTGGCTAATTTTTGTATTTTTAGTAGAAACAGGGTTTCAACATGTTGCCCAGGCTGGTCTCAAACTCCTGACCTCAGATGATCCACCTGCCTTGGCCTCTCAAAGTGCTGGGATTACAGGTGTGAGCCACTGAGCCTGGCCAGGCAGGCATCTTTATAAAGCAGTGGGGGAAACCCCAGGCAGTTGGGATCTTCAACCTCTGTGTCGTCTCTGTTTCAATGTCTAAAAACTGAATCTCATAACAATTTAGCAATAAGAAGAGCACAGTACTATCATCTCCAGGTACCATTTCCCTGTCCTTCCTATCCACTGCTGCCAGAGGACAACACTACAATCAAAAGGAATTTCATTTGTTTGGCACAGTCAGAAATACAGCTCAGAAATCTGCTCTTAAAATTGTAATTAAAAACAGGAAGAACTATCTGGGCCATTCTGGATAATTTTTAAAGGAACCTGTTATCTGAAAGAGATACAGTCCAGGCTAAGTGTAGTCTGCTGGACTTGAGAGCTGCACACCTAGATCCATTTGCCTGGTCTGGGGCCTTAAGAAGGGATGATGTCACTAGGAAGCCAGGGAATGAAGGCACTACCCCAAAGAAGGAGGAGATGGGGAGCAAGCATGCTGATGAAGGGAATGAAGGGAGATGTTCCTGTGGGACTTCTTGACCTACACTGCCTGTGACTTGAGTATTAACTCCGTAAGAATTTACTAAGCATATACAGGTTGAGCATCCCTAACCTGAAAATCTGAAATCTAAAATGCTCTAAAATCAGAAACTCTTTAAGTGTTGAAATGATGCCACAAGTGGAAAATTCCACACTTGAACTAATGCAGTCAATACACATGCAATATATTCAGTGACCCCAAGAAAAAAATAAAATCACCTTCTGGTTATGGATATAAGGTATGTATGAAACATAAATGAATTTTGTATTTAGACTTTGTTTCCATCCCCAAGATATCTCATTATATATGCAAAGATTCCCAAATCCAAAAAACAAACCAAACCTGCAATCTGAAATATGTCTGGTCCCAAGCATTTTGGATAAAGGATGCCTAACTGTATTAGATACTCTGGGGGATACAGAGATACAGAGCTGAGAAAGACAAAGGTCTGTTTTAAAGAGCATTTTTTTTTTTTTTGAGACAGAGGTTTAGTCTTGCTGCTCAGGCTCACCTCAACCTCCGCCTCCTGGGTTCAAGCAATTGTCCTGCCTCAGCCTCCCAAGTAGCTGGGATTACAGGCATGCGCCACTACGCCCGGCTAATTTTGTATTTTTAGTAGAGATGGGGTTTCTCCATGTTGGTCAGGCTGGTGTCAAACTCCTGATCTCGGGTGATCCACTGGCCTCAGCCTCCCAAAGTGCTAGGATTATAGGTGTGAGCCACTGCGTCTGGCCTCAAAGAGCTTTAAGACCAATGGGAGGACAAAGAACAAGTACACAATAATAACTATAAAAATATGGCCGGGTGCAGTGGCTCATGTCTGTAATCCTAGCACTTTGGGGGGCCAAGGTGGGTGGATCACCTGAGGTTGGGAGCTTGAGATCAACCTGGACAACATGGTGAAACCCTGTCTCTACTAAAAAAATAAAAAAATTAGGCAGGCATGATGGCAGGTGCCTGTAATCCCAGCTACTCAGGAGGCTGAGGCAGGACAATCA